CGGGCGCCCCCTGAGGGGCGTCTCACATCCCTCCGGGTGAGGGTACCCCCGGCCCCTGGGGGGCGGCAGGTCTCCCACGGCCCTCCGCACGAGGGTCCCCGTGACCTCTGTGAGGGGGGTCCCCCAGAGCGAAGCCCCCGTCCCCCCCCTCGCCCCGTGGCGGTGCTCCAAACACCCTACGCAGAAACCTGTGAGGAGCCGATGGTGAGCCTGCCCCTTCCTCTGGTTTATTCCCTACCCCTCTCCTCGTCTTTCCTGACATTTGATGGTTTGGCTGCCAGGGAAAGGACATCTTCATGGAGACCACCACCACCCTCAAGCCAGGGCCTGTCCCTCTGCAGGTGGGCTGGGGTGGCAGCCCCTGTCCCCCACACACCACACCTCGGCGGCCATTCTGCTGCCATTCGCCTGGTGCCACCAGTTGTGCTGCATTTCCCGGCCCTTCCCTGCTGTGCCTCCTCTGGTGAGGGGTCTGGAGATCCACCTACACCTCGTTGCTGGAAGAGGTGACCCTGGGAACCTTTATTCTTCCTCCTTGTGCACCATCTCCTTAGCCAGCATCTTGCCTTCTCTGGTCCCTTCCATGGAGCCAGCTCCGAGATGGACTCCATCCCTCCCAGCACACTGGTCACCCCGTGGCCCTCGTTGGAGTCACTGCCCATGAGGTTGGTGTGCCCAACGGCTCTGCAACCTGGCTCCGCCAGCTGGGACCCCCTCCTGCATCCCCTCCCGTACCACTGCTGGGATGCTGGGCTGGGAGTCGCCTCCCCACTGCTGCTCCGGGAATGTTTTGGTCAAGACAAGTTTAAATACTGCAGAAGGGCATGTTCACTTAAGTGCTGACGTGGTACATGCCACGTTAAACTGGCACACTAACAGCCTGAAGTACAAAACCTGGGAGGATTTAGACCTTCCTCCTTCTCAGACCATTAGCTGTGGTGGAAATTCCTTGGCGGTCCCTGCAGGTATCACCAGGCTGTCGCGTTTTCAGATCTGGAACACTGGCCGCCACAAATACTGGAGATCCCAGAATCAGGAAAAGCCATTTATTACAGAAAAGCAGAAAGCTGATACAATTGCACAAGAGTCATCGTGAAATAGCTTTTTTTTTTTTTTTTTTCTGAGCAAATATGACATTGTCATGTCACTATTTATTCTGCTTTTTAAAATCTAATATCAGAGTAAGCAATAATAGGAACTACATTACTAGATAAACATTGGCAAAGCTCTGGCAACAGTTGACATGTGAGACAGAAAGAAAAGATGTAATTATGTGGTAGATTCTCAACAGGTTTTTGCACAATTGGAGTTTGAAGAGCAATACTGCTTATGTCAAATTTGACATGACAGTAAGAATTGGGCTGTCAACATACGCACTATGTTGCAACAGCTTGTTGACTTCAATAGCCCTGGTTAGAATGATGAAACGTGGTGACCCTCTGCAGTTTCTAAACAGCTTGAGTGGGTACAAATATGAGCAGCTAGCAAAAGAGAGGAGCACACGGGAGAGGCATCAAGTGAGGGACCTCGTTGGGCTGGAGAAATGGGCTGCCAGGAACATCATGAAGTTCAATAAGGAAAATTGCAAAGTCCTGCCCCTGGGGGCTGACTGACTGGGAAGCAGCTCTGCAGAGAAGGCTGCTGAGGATCCTGGTAGATGCCAAGTTGAACTTGAGCTAGCAATGTGCCCTTGCAGCCAAAAAAAAAGACTACCGATGTCCTGGGCTGCATTAGAAGTGTTGCCAGCAGGTTGAGGGAGGTGATCTTTCCCCTTTTTCAGCACTGGTGAGGCCACACCTGGAGTCTGTGTCCAGTTCTGGGCTCCCCAGTACAAGAGAGACATGGACGTACTCGAGAGAGCCCATCCAAGGGCCATAAAGATGCTGAAGGGACTGGGGTGTCTGTCCTATGAGGAAAGGCTGAGAGAGCTGGGAGAAGTCTCGGGGGGACCTCATCAATGTGTATCAATACCCAAGGGAGGGTGCAAAGAGGATGGAGCCAGGCTCTTTCCAGTGGTCTCTAGTGCAGGACCAGAAGCAATGGGCACAAACTGAAACACGGGAGGTTCCCTCTGAACATAAGAAAACATTTTTTTACTGTGCAGGTGACTGAGCGCTGGCACAGGTTGTCCAGGGAGGCTGTGGAGTCTCCATCCACGGAGAGATTCAAAAGCTGCCTAGACATGGTCCAGATGTCCCTGCTTGAACAGTTGATTGGATGAGATGACCTCCAGACCTCCAGAGGTCCTTTCCCGCCTCTGCCGTTCTATGATCCTATGCTGTCTCCTTCTCCAGGAATAAA